AGACTGCTGGTTGTTAAGCGAGTGGCTCGCTTGCAAAGGCTGCCTTGATGAAGTGTGAGACAGCACTTACGGAGGGACGCGGGCAGGCATTCTCGCTCCATCTTCCGCTCACAGTGCCGCTCTTTATGTGCCTGACATTTGCTCGCTGGAAAGGCCCCTGAAGTCAGGGGGAAAGGAAAACATTGCAGGCAGCAGGGCCAGAACGGTGCTGGGAGGAGTGCTGTGCCGTGCCGTGCCGTGCCGGGCTCGGCTGGGATGGGCCGGGCTGGGATGCTCCTCTGTCTCGGCCTCACCACCCGCGCTCTTCCCCGGGGTGACCCCTTCACCTCTCAGCAGCTCTCCGGCTGCCTTCCCCTGCCGGCACCGCCACTTCCTCCAGGTGTGCTCAGCCTGGCTGCCTGCCTGGGCAGCCCTGGCCATCCTGCCCCTGCCTGCTCCAGGGGCGGGCTGGCAGCACCGCCAGCTCTGCTGCTGCTGCTGCTGCTGCTGCTGCTGCTGCTGCTGCTGCTTGTCCCCTGGAAGTGTATGACAGGGGGATGGAGACAATGACAGAGTGAGCTCAGAGCTGGTCCTTTAGCCACCTGCTTCTGGGGTACACAGTGTCCCAGCGACTGCTGCAGGCTTGGGAGGTTGCAAGTAGATCTAAGGGCTGGAGAACTGGGAAAGGGCATCAGCAGCCAGTGTAGGGTACCTTGGGGTGCCTGGAGGTGCCTCTGTCCCCAGGAAAAGGGTTGTTGCCCCATAAGGAAGCTGGGGCAGGAGGCTGGGCTGATGGGGCGTGCTTCATCCCAGGAAATAGGCAGCCCCTTTGCCTGCCCTTGATACCAGCTGCAAGGGGACAGTTCAACCCTCTCCATCTATTTTCTTGCAGACAGATCCTCTGCTGCTGGCAGAGGATGGTTGAGCATCTATCTGGATTCCAGAGGGGGCCTCTCCCTAGCCTGACTGACTTTGGCATAACCATGGGCAGAGATGCCCAGCACAGATCTAGCAAGCCATCCCAGCCCCATTCCCAGGAGCATGCACAAGGCTTGTGGCAGGGTAGAGTGCCAAGGGCAGCCTGTGAATGCACCAGCCACGGAGCCCTTCCCCTGCCCACCGTGGACTGCCACAGCAGCACCAGACTTCATCCATGCCAGTGTGGCAGCAGCCGTGCCCGGTGACAGAGAGCCAGTCTGCCACTCCTGGTCTGTCACTCCACCACGCCGCTTCCATGGAGCCCACTGGTGGGGGCAGCCTGGGGAAGCCATCCTCCCCCTTGGCACACACCCCTTGGCTCCAGCCCCGGCAGGAATTATTAAGTGTGCCCCTGTGGAGCATGTGCTGAGGCTGGCCACGGGAATGTGGGCAGATCTGACATACAAGCCACAGCAGCCAGGCTATAATTTCCAAACAGGCCCCATTCGCTCTGTTTTCCAGTTAAAAATATATTAAAAAATAGGAATGTGGGATTTGTAGTGAAGAATGTTGGTAACCGCTTCGAATGTCTGGTGTGATAATGAAAGGGTCAGTCCCCAGCTTTGAGCGTGACCGATTTAGACTCTGGTGCTTGGCAGTGCTGCGGGGGCCCAGCATGATCCAGCCTGCCTGCAAACCCATCCTGGGCCAGGCAAAGGTGATGCTTCTGTGCTGGAGGCATGGTGCTGTGCTGGGTGATGTGCCCCTTCTGCTCATACTGTCTAGAGACCATCCAAATTGCTGTCCCTTTTGGCCCCTTGAGACGGGAGTCTAGGCAGGGGGTGGGGAAATGCAGAAACACTTGGAGATAGATTTTGTACCCTGCTGCATCTCGGCACTGGGGTGCAGCCCCATAGCAGAGCCCACTGGGTTGGGGGTCACTGAGTGGGGCTGCAGCCCAGCTCCCCCTGAGCTGCCCCTCCACACCGTGGGCTTGCTCTCAGTGTGATGCCAGGCACCTGCCCCCCTTTGGTGGGCACACTGCTCCCCCCCTGTCCCCCAGCTCGCAGTTCAGGGTGTGCTGTGGAGTCTCCTGTGCTGCTGCCGCAGCCTTGAGTCCCTCCTGATACTGGGGCAGCCCACTTGGCCTTGTGTCCAGGTAGTCATAACAGGCCAGACAAGCCATGCCAGCTGCCGAGGCATCGCTCCCTGGTGCCTGGGGAGTGGTGTGGAGCAGCCCAGCCAGCACTCCCCCAGCTGCCAGCTCTCTGCTGTGTGCCTCCCCGGACCTCAGACATCATGTTTATCCTGGAGATGGGTAATCAGGGAAAAACAAGTCACCAGAGGCCAGGGCTGATGTTGCAGTGGGGCCAAGCTGTCTGCAGCAGGGTTCAGCTTCTGAATGTAGCAGTGGGGAAAAGAGGAAGGGGAAAACCAGCTGTAGCCAGGGCTTGTCCCCCCACCGAGCCCTTTAGGGGACACTTCATTGTCCCTCTCAGCCTTCGGGGCCATCAGGTGGCCGGTGGCTGGCACAGCATGCTCTGCTCCCTGCTGAGTCATAGCTCTGCAGGGAAACGCTTCCAGCTCTGGTTATAGCCCATTTCCCTCCGGGGCTGTGAAGCGCAGCCTCCCAGACCCGCCGCGGGCCAGCTCCGGCCACCCCATGGCCCTGAGCCCGCGGGCTCCAGCCGCCGGGAAGGGCAGCGGCAGGAAGTGGCTGCTGACTCCCAAATTCCACCCTGGGCTTGCTGGAGCTGAGCCCTTCCCGCAGGCGTGGGCAGCAGGTGCCCTGCACCTGCAGGCCCCTGTGCCACCCCGGATGCCCAATCCCCCTGGTGGCGCTGGGCACTCTGCTTCCAGTGCCTCCCCACGGTGCCATGTCAGCAGGGGGGTGTGTGCTGCTCTTGGGGACGCTGGGTGGCTGCAAGGATGGTTTGCCCCATCCCCAGGGATATCTGGGCAGCTCAGCTGGGGCTGAGCACTGAGTGAGCAGCTGCCCTGCCCAGATCCTTGCTTGAATGCTGTGAAGTGGAGCAGCCTGGGCAGCCCTGGGGCTTGGGGCACATCCCAGGTGCCATCCTGAGTGGGCTGGAGCAGAGGGGATTGGGCAGCACCCTGCGCCTGGATGCATAGCCTGCCCCATTGCCCTGGCATTCCCCAGACCCGTTGGTGGCAGGCAGAGGGGATGAGCACCCAGAGCAGTGGCACCCAGAGCTGGCTGGCTCTGCAGGGGACTCTCCTGCCCTCCTGGGGCACTGACCCACACAGTGCTATCTAGTACACTTTGCTCACTTCACTGCCATTCCTGGCTTTCCTGGGAGCTGCTGTTTGCTTTTCTCTGAATTATGACTCCAGCTTGTGCCTTTGATCTGGGCTGTGTTGGCCACCCGTGACCAGGCCCTCTTCTGCCTTTGAAGTGCACTCACCTTCCCAGCCTTGGATGCTGCTTTTGCAACCTTGGGTGCAGCCCTGGCTCTGGGGTGAGACACACAGGGCAAGAGCATCTTTGGGTGCCTGAGGTGCTCAGCATCCCTCCTCCTCCTCCCTGGGACCTTGTGATGAGCCAGCACAGCTAACAGCTCGGAGGCTGGGCACTGAGGCATTGAGAGCTGTGCTTGCCCAGTACCAAGCAGTCCCAGGGATGCAGGTGGGACGCTGGTGGGATGCTGGCAGCAGAGCATTGCTCCCTCCGGTGGCAGTGGGCAGGGACAGAGGAGGTGACCTGTATAGCAGCTGGTCAAAAAGCAGATGCCAGTGCATTTCCTACTGCCAAAGGGCCTTTCATGCCTGTGACTCCAGCAGAAGAGATGAGACCTGCATGGAAAATGTCTGTCTGGGCAGCAGCCAACCCATCCTGGCATCAGCCCTGTCCTGCCACCCTGTCTGGCAGGGAGCAGTGAGGAGGGCTCAGCCTACCTATTCTGCCACTGGGAAGTTGGGGTCAGGCTTTGGACTCTGGCCTTGAGTGGGTCTGAGCGTCCCCATCCCCTCCCCATTTTCCTGGCCCGGAGAGGATCCTACCTTATCTGTTACACTTTGTTCTCCTGCTGTCTGGGTGTGGAGCAGGGCAGAGATTAGTGTGTTCAGACCTTTGACACACACACACACACACACACACAGAGCCACACAATCAGCCATGCTCGTGTGCACACTGCTGCACACACAGTCCCTGTCCACGTCATCATGGCACACTCACCTGCACAAGTAGGCCCACGCTGTGCCCCACACACCCCCCCCAGCACCCCCTCCAGGGCACATACCCGTTTCCCTTTCCCTGTGCATGTTTGTTTGAGCACTGTGAGCTATGTTATGTTCCCAGTGGAGTGTGGCATTCCCCAGCCTGCCAAGATCTCTCATGTGCATCAGCAGAGCCCAGCAGGAATGGTGGCATCTCGCTGGGCAGGGGTGCAGGCAGGAGGAGGGGGGCTTCCCATGTCAAGTCTGGAGGGAATAAAAGTGCGTGCAGGGAGGCAGGAGCTGTTCTGGCAGACTGGAAGCAAACCTGGGCATCCCACATCTCACTGTCACATCATTTTCACTTTCTGTGGGGCCACCAGAGATGCCTTGTGCTGGAGGCTGTGGTGGCAGGCAGGGGCTACCTATTCCTACCTCTTATTAGGTCATGTTCCTGCCCATGGCTCACTGTCCATACTCACAAGCTGCAGCCCATGCTGCTCCAGGCAGGGCAGCCACAGCCCTTCCAGAGCGATCTCATCTCCAGCATTTCATGGACCCAAAAGCCTCTGCAGTCTGCCTCTCAATGTGAAGAGCAGGTGTGTGGAGGTGTGCATGTGTGTGTGTGTCTGTATGTCTGTATGTGTGTGTGTGTGTGTCTGTATGTCTGTGTGTGTGTGTGTGTGTGTGTGTGTGTGTGTGTGTCTGTATGTCCGCGTGTGTGTGTGCACAGCTGGGAGCAGCCACATCCCACCCAGTGCCAGAGCTGCCTGTTCCCACAAACTCTGCTGCACTTCTGGGGTGAAACAGATGTAGCCTGACAGGCAGAGGGGGGCACAGCCCCCTCTCTGCCCCACAGCAGCTCTGTGGCAGGGTGACCTGGCAGCGATTTCCTGGCAGGGTGATGGTGCCTGTGCTTTCTCCCGCAGACCCTGCCCCGGATCTGCAGTGCGGGAGAAGGGCAGGCGTTTGCCTCTGCTCTGCAGCAGCTCTACACTGCAGTGACACAGCAGGAGCTCAAGCAGGCTCGGAAACGCCATTGCTCTGGTGAGGAGCTCCCTGGCTGTGGCATGGGGGCATGTGGTGCAGCTGTCCCCTCGACTGCTGAGCCCCATATCCTGGGGTAAGGGAAGCGTGGCCCCGGGAGCAGCTCACCCCATGCAACAGTCTCCCCCTTGCTTTCCCCCATGGGCTAGGCTCCCAGTCCAAGCACAGTTCCTGTGGGTGGGTTTGGATAATGCCCCATGCTCCCTTATCTCAATCCCAAATTGCATCTTTTTCTGGTACCAGAGGATGATGTGGAAACAGCACCCAGTGCAGAAACCACAAATCACCCCCATTCACCTGCTGCATCCCAGGAGGATGAAACGACATCTTCCAGCGAGAGAACCTCGGTGAGTGCAGCTCTAGAAAGTCTCTCTGTACCAAAGGGAGGATGGGGCCCACATCTCCTTTCCCTCCTCTCATCCAAGCACTCTGCCCATCCAGGATGGGCTAGGAGTCTCAGCTTGGTTCCTAGCCCATTCTAGCCCCTGCATCCTGAGTGTGTGATTGCACATGTGTGTATATTTTGCACTCCCACAACACAGATGACAGGAATGTCACTGCTTGCACACTTGCACACATCCTGCATGACTCCCCAAGGTGGAACTGACACTGCCTCCTCTTGTTTCCAGCCAGCCTCCTCCCCAGCTCAGAAGCCCCGGCTGCCTGCAGCCAAGGCCAAGCCAAAGAAGGCAAAAGGGCTCTTCAGCTGAAGGATTGCTGCCAACCCTGCTGAGGTCTCTGCTTCCCCCAGCATCCAAGAGAGGCAGTGCAGACAACCCATGCATCGACTGCTCTTCTCTGCATCTCCTTGTGGACCCTGCCCATGTCATGGATGGGTGTCTCCAGTTGGATGTCTCCAGGATGTCTCCAGTTGGGGAGATGGAGCTCCTTTCTTCAACAGTGTTTCAGGAAACAGCTTTTCTAACTCTTCCCTGGTGCAGAGTTTGCCCAGGCTTCCTCTCATGGCAGAGCCAGTGCTGGACCTGAGAGAAGTGGGAGGGATGCTGCCAGTGAGTGTGGGACAGCTGGGGCTCTGGCAGAGCTGTGGGGTTTGGCTGCTCTTGAGTGGGTTTTCAATAAAGGGATGTGTCTGGGTGAGATTCCCTCTCCTGCTCTGTCCCACCAGGCCTGTAGTGTCTAGGAAGGGATGTAACCTTTGGTGCTGCTGGGTCCCCCTCAGGCCAGTCCTGATGTCCCAGGGGCTTGCAGTGACTCTGGACAGTGAGGTGACAGCAGCTCATTGCTGTGGCACAGCACACAGCTCCCAGCCATGCTGTGCCTCACCCTGAGCAGCAGTCTGTGTTTTGGGGTGTGCACCAGGGGATGCCCAGGTCAGGGGGATGCAGCTGAGGGGGCTGGAGCCCATGTTCTTGTCCCGTACCAGGATACACACCCTGTGTGCTGGTGCCTGCAGAAGGAGGCTGGCAAAGGCCCTGGATAGAGTGAGGGACACACTGCATTTGCAGGCACCTCCACCATAGTTATTGGGCAGGTGATACTGGCTTGATCCATGCTTTGGCCTCCAAGGAGCAGGAGACAACCAAAACACACACTGAATGCTGCCAGGCCTGGGAGCAGCACTGGAGCATGTTACAGATGCTCCCTGGACACAAAACACCACTTCCATCCCTTCACACTCCATCCATCCATCCATCCATCCATCCATCCATCCATCCATCCATCCATCCATCCGTCTGTCCATCCACTCCTGCTCTCCTCTTCCAGCCCCTGGGTCCACATGCTTCCTTTCAGGTCTGGGATCCCATTCCTGTGCCCAGGACAGGTCTGAAAACAGCAGGCAGAGAGCCAGGCAGCAGGCAGGCTGCAGCCAGGGGTGCTGCCCTCCTGGGACAGGGATCCATGCCCCCAGCTGCCCTGGTCCCTGGGGCTGGGCCAGCTGCAGGCATGCTGCCTGCTCTCCTGGGCAGCAAGGGGGAAACAAAAACATCCGGAGCAGTCCCTGTGTCTGTGGAGGGGAATGAAAGGGCCTTTGCTGGGCCACAGCCCACCAGTCCCAGGGCGAGTGCAACCAGTGGCTTTTTATATTTCCTTTCTGAGGGAGCAGCATGCAGGGCAGGGTGGGTGGTGGGAAGGGAAATCCATGGGATGGGGAGCTCGTGCCGACTGCTGTAGCTTATGTATCCTGCATTTTCCCATCTGCAAACATCACATCTTGGCAGCTTTGAGTCTGCCTGCTGGGCACTTGCCCCCAGGGAGGGTCCTGCTGAAGGGTAGGACCAGGGCAGCAGGAGCTTAGCAGCTTAACAGTTTCCTGTATCTTCTGGCACCTGGTTGTCCCTGGTGCAAGCCCTGCTCCATCCATATGGACTCCATCTCTGGTGCAGGAGCTGCTCTGTTGTGAGCCTCGTCCCTCAGCTCTGTGCTGGCTCTGGGGTTTGTGCTGTTCCCCCATGTTCAGGAGGAGTGCTTATCACCCCAGTGAGGGCATCTGTCTATCCCCTTTGGGTCTGAGGAGACATCACAGGGAGAGGCAGGGCTGAAACAATGCCAACCTGGCTGTGGCAGAGACTCTGTAGGGGAGGAGTGGGTGGTGCAAACCAGCACCTGCATCCCTGGGTCATTCCTGTGAATTACTGTGTCTCTGCTTCTCCCTGGGGTGCTCAGCTCAGGGGAGCCAGTCCCAGGGATGCTGCAGAGAGGTTGCTCGTGAGCTCTGTCCAGCTGCAAAGTCTCTGTGGAGTGTCCAGAAGCCCTAAAGACCTGCTGCAGGGACAGATCTTGTTCCATTCACTTCTCTCCCAAGGCAAGGGGAGGTGGGGATGTGGGAGCATGGATGGGGGGTAAATAAAAGCAGAAGAGGGAAGACAGTAGGAAAAAGAGCTTTGCCAATGTCCCCCAGGGAACCGCAGGGACCGTGGCCCTCAGGACTCCAGCCTGGGGCCACTGGTTCCTCCCTGGCCCAGGTTGTTGCCAGCTCCCAGGAATGTCACTACACATTGTCCCATGCTGTCCTGCTGGGGTCTCCTTCACTGTCCCCACCCCCTCCTCCCTGGAGCCAGCTGGATTTGAGCTCCCGACACACATTAAAGGCCACAAGTTCGGCCTCGGCCTCCATAAATTTGATTCCATAAATATTAGTTTTCGCAGGGTTTAATGAAGCCGTTATGCTGGGCACGGCCCAGCACCCCGACCCGTGCCCTTAATAAGGGCTCTGTGGCCTCGATTAAAGGGACCTTTCAATCGCTGTCAAGTATTTTTAGAAAAGGAAAAGAAAAAAAAAAAGAGAGAGAGAGAGAGAGGGAGAGAGAGAGAGAAGAAGACGACCAAGGCAGCGAATAGGGAGAGGAAAATCCCAAACCCGTGCAGTGCAAAAATAGAGAAATAGCACCACCTAGACTGCCTGGCTCGGCTCCGCCGCGCGTCCCTGCGCAGCGCCCAGCTCCGGGCAGCCCTGGGAGCCCAGCAAGGGGCGGGCGGGATGCTGCACTGCTGCTGGGGCAGGGACAGCGCCATGCCGTGCTGGGGACAGCCGAAGGGCAGAGGAAAGAGGCACTGGTTCCCTCTCGGAATGCGGGCAGGAACAGTGCGCCCTGGCGTCCAGGCCAGAAGTGCCTGAGAGGGGCCGAGTGCTGAGGGAAATGCCATGTGAGCAAACGTTTCATCTCTCCCACTGCAGCAGCAAGGGTCCCTTCCTATCAGTTTCCCAAGCAGGAGTCCATCTCCCTAGGCAAAGTTTCCCCCTTTAGCACTGGTTATCCCGACCAGTGACAGCCTCCCAGACAGCTCAGCCTCCAGCTGCCCCCCTGTACACCCAGCTTGGCTCCCCTATTGTGCCTGGTGTCCCTGTCCCACTCAGCCCTTGGTGCCCCAAAGGCTTTGCCTGGCAGGAGAACTCTGGCTGACGTTGGGAATGCTGCATGGAGAGGTGATGGACTCTGCACCCAGCCACAGGGCACTGCCACTGCTTGCTGTGGCCAGAACCAGTGCACAATGCCATGGCCCCTGCATGGGCAGGAGTTGCTGTCACCAGCAAACCCAAACCCTTCCAACCTGGGCCTCCGTGAGACATGAATGCTGTCACCAGCAAGGGCAGGGCTAGGCTGCTTACTGTGAGCCTGGAGCGGCTGGGAGGGGGACAGTGGCTTGTGACATGCACACTGCATGCTGCCAGGCTGCAGAGCTTATTGGGAGGTCTGGGTTTGTGACATTGGCATTCATAGGCAACCTCTCCCTGGGGAAGTGCTGCAGCCTCCAGATGCAGTGCTATCCCAGATCATCCTGCTTCACAGTCTTGTGCTGTGCAAAGTGGGAAGCTAGGCTCCTCTTGTTGGGAGTACAAACTGCCCTGGAGGATTCTGTGAACCTAGTCCAGGGTCCATAGGGTCTATTTTTCCTGTGCTAGTGATGCACAGAGAGTTGTGTCCCTTCTGCATCACTGAGAAGCCAAGGGCAGGGGTGAAGAATGATGCTGTGGTGCATTCCCTCTGCTTTCTCTGCCGATGCCCTTCGGATGCTCCACTGGAAGGATCGGCCAAAGAAGTGTAGAAGTGGGGTGGCCTGGGGCTGCTGGTCAGACACCCCAGCTCCATCATGTGCAGGGACAGTGGGACAGCTGTATCTCACCATCCTGCTCAGTGGCAGGTCTTCACAGAGGCCCTGGGCACTGCTTTTGGGTGGGCATTATGAAAACCAGTACAAAAACCTGATGGACCGTGGCTACTGAGTATGAAAACCTGATGGAGACACCTCTGGCCAGCTGCAATTTGCTTGCAGCTCCTGCAAAGGGAATGGTCTGCTGGGGGCATTAGACAGCAGCATCCCAAGTCTGTGGGTGATGCTGGCTCCCCAGCCTGCATCCCTCATGCCCAGGCTGCCTGGTCCTGTTGAGAGCAGCAAAGCCCTGCAGCCAGAGCTGGTTGTCTGGCTGGGCTATTCCAGCCTGGCCACTGTGTATCCCTGTGAGTGAGCCGTGCCCTGCACTCACAGAAGAGCTGGCGAGGGAACATCCCTGGGAGAGTCTGTGTATGTGTGGGCATCCCAAGGCACTGCCTCACCTGGGAAGATCCTAGGGAACCACAGGGTGCTCATGCGGTCCCGTGCCGGACCCCTCCCCGGCACACAGCTGGGGGAGAACCGGGGGGGCCCTTCAAACCCTCGCTCCTGAAATCAGGGTGTTATATTTACTTTCCCCTTTTGGCAGCTAGAAGGGGAAGCCCATCCCAGCCCCTCATTGTTGTCTCAGCGAGTTAATCAGATGCCATAATCCTGTTGTGGAAATATCGGGCCTCCCTGGAAACAATGGGGAGCGAGAATATTGTGGTTAAATTTCAACCAGCTGCCTCCCTGCTCTGTTTGATCCCCGCCCGCAGGCCCGGGCCCCTGGCGAGCAGGCGGCGCGGCGGGGGCCGGAGCCCCGGGGGTGCCACCCCGCGCCCCCTCCGCCGCGAGGGAGCCCCGCAGGACGCCCCGCCAAGGGGGGCCGAGGGTGCGCGGCGGCCCGGGCGCACCTTGGGGCGGCGGCGGGGCTGCCCCGGGGGGCAGGTGGCGGCGGGCACCCCCGGTGGGGTGGGCTGCGGGGCTCGGCAGGGGGGAGGAGGCTGCGGGCGGCCCGGGGCAGGTTCCACGGGGAGGAGGCGAGAGAGGGAGGGCGCTGGGAGGCTGGGACACCGGCAGGGTGCGGTCCTGGCGGTTCCCGGTCCCGGATCTCTTCAATTTCCCCTCTCACTCCTGCCCAGGGAGCCGAGGCAGCGGCGGCTCCGGCTCCGGCTCCAGCCTTGCCGCGCTGACCGCCGAGGCGCAAACCGCGGAGGGCTCCGGCAGCGCCGAGCCCCGCGCCCCGCGCCCCGCAAGCGGCCGCTCGCCTGCCAAAACAAACGGCCCTTCGCTATTTATTGCCGCCGCCGGGCCACGGCAGCTCAGAGCGGGCCGACGCCAGCTCGCCGCACCGGGCAGCCGGAGCGCACCCGCGCCGGGCAGCCGCCGCGCCCCGCCGCCGCCGCCGGCACCGGCACCTGCCCGCCGGCTGCGCGCCGCATGGGGAGCCCCGGGCCGGGCGGCGGGAGCGGCGGCCGAGCTTAGTGGGGACCCGGAGCCACCTGTGCCCCGGGCCGCCCCGGGGCCGCCGGGCGCGCCATGAAGCCGGCGCGGCTGCTGCTGCTGCTGAGCGGGTGCGCGCTGCTGCTGGCGCCGGCCGTGCGCGGCTGCGGGCCGGGCAGGGTGGTGGGCAGCCGCCGCCGCCCGCCCCGCAAGCTCATCCCACTCGCCTACAAGCAGTTCAGCCCCAACGTCCCCGAGAAGACGCTGGGGGCTAGCGGCCGCTACGAGGGCAAGATCGCGCGTAACTCGGAGCGCTTCAAGGAGCTGACGCCCAACTACAACCCCGACATCATCTTCAAGGACGAGGAGAACACTGGCGCCGACCGGCTCATGACCCAGGTACGGCACCGCTGCCGCCCGGTTCTACCCCCGCGCCGGGCATCTGCGGGCACCGGGGCTGCCTCAGAGCGCCCTGCCACCCGCTCTCCGGGGACCGTGTGGGCCCCGCGCTGCGGCTTCCCCGTCCTGCCCCGGGCATCCCGGTGCCGGCTCCGGGCTGCCGGCGTGCAGCGAATGCATCTCTCTTCGCCGGGCGCTCTGTCCCTTCGGCTGCGCTGTGCGCGACGGACAGCACGCTGCGCCTTGGGACGGCAGCACCCTGCTCCCGGAACCGGCAGCACCTTGTCCCCCAAGACGGCAGCACCCTGCCCCGCTGCTCCTCGGAGCCTGTGGCACCCGTGTCTTGCTGCACCCCGAGGAATGCCCTTGTGACTCCCGAGCTGGCAGCACCCTGCGTTGCTGCCCCTCAACTCTTGTCCCACTGGTCCCTAGGCTGGCATAGCCCTGCACTCCAAGCTGGCAGCAGCCGGCCCTGTGCCCCTGAGCTGTGCCACACTGCCCCCGATCCAGCAGCATCCTCCCACATCCCCTCGATCCAGCAGGGCTGTGCTGCCCTGTTCCCTGCTCAAGCAGCACCCTGGCCCATGCAGCCATCCTGCCCCTGCCCCTCTACTCTGCCTCCCCGCTGGCAGGGCAGGCAGCCTGCCCGTTGGATCCGAGGGACAGACCAGAGCCTGGTGTGCTGCTGTGTCCAGGAGTGCCCTTGCTGACCTTGTCCCCACTCTGACACTGAAACCCTCAGTGCTCCCCTTCCTGCATGTCTCATGTGGGATGGTGCAGGGTGCTCAGGGGGAGCTGCTTGCTGTGCTCAGGGCTGGGGACAGCCTGTTACTGCCAATGCCTTGTTGCAGTCAGCTCACAAGTACCCGGGGCTGGCAGGAAGGATGGGGGGTGTGAACGACACAGACGACAGCAGAGGAGGGGGGGTGATGCTGGACGAAGGTTACTCTGTGTTTTAATATTGCCAGGAGAATGCCTGAGGGTTTCAGGAATGCAGATAAGGAGCCGCACGGCCTTGCTAAGAAACCTGGCTACCAGCCTCAGCAGGGTTACAGCCTGAACGAGCTCCTGGGGGAAGCAGAGGGGAGCTGGGCTGCCCCTTCTGCCCACTGCACCCCCGGTCAGGGGCTGGCAGGTGGGTGAACATGAAGGACTGTGATGGTGGGCACTGAGCAAGGCCCTGGCCATAGCGTCTGACCAAGGTGTTCCTAACATTGGGAGGAGAAGCTTCTTGGGTGCTGGCTTGACAGCTCTGCAGCCCCGTGTGCCCTGAGAGCAGGTCCCTCAGGGCAGGGACCATAGTCCAGGTTGGTTTTCAGGCTGGGGACTGTAGTAGAGGGAGCAGGATCCCCTGCAAGGCAGCAAGCTTGGGGAGTTGCACAAGTTGTGGTTGCTGGTGACTGGAGCCCTGGGGCTGGGCTGTAACCTGCCTCCCCTGGGGAACAGCTTCAGGGATATTTGAGGAAGCAGTGAGCTCCTCTGGTCCATACATGGGGGAAGTGGATGACATCATTGGAGACAGGAGAATGCTTCTTGCTGTGTTTTCTCCTGAGAGTGCTCCCTCCACCTTCTGTAACCCAGGCAGTGCCCCTCAGCACACCTGGGAGAGGGAGATCTCGGTGTGCCAGCCTAACATTTCATGCTGTACCACTGCCTTGTTGGCAGAGCACCTAGAAGCATCTTGGTCTTCTTGGGTTGCACAAATGAGGGTTCTTACTCCAGTAGGGTCCCCGGCCACCACACATCCATGCACAGATGGGTACCACTGTGCCTTGGGCAGCTCTGCAAGGAATTGTTCCTCTTGCTATGGAGGTGGCATGATTTCTGGTAGCTTGCTGCCATCCCACAGCCCTCTGGGATTTTTCTGTGGCCCCTGGCTGGGGGAGATCCCCCCAGATATGGGAACTCTAGCTCTGGCACCAAGTCCTGTGTTGCTATGGGTTGGGAAAGGCCATTGACCCAACTCCTTGTCCCTTCCCCCAGAGCACTGGCTTTTACTGCTGTTGACTCACTTCAAACCTGTTTTCTTTCCCCAAGTCCAAGGGTCTGGGTGTCCCAGGCAGCCGGAAGATGTCGCCTGCTTAGAGGAGTGGGTAGTGCTGCTCTCTGCCTGCCTTTCCTTTATCGTTTCATCTTCCTCAAGAATTCCAGTGTGTTTGCTCTCACTGGTCCCACTCGGAGGTGCTGAGATAAGGCTGGAGGCAGAACCCGCCTCACCTCTCCCCAGCAGCCTGGCCCAGGAATGCCGTGGGTCCCCTGCCCCCATGGAGTCCCAAACCCAGCCTCTCCCTACCCCAACCACCATCCCTTGCAGCCACTGCTTGTCCAACTGACACGGAGACCATCCTTGCAGTGATGAGGAATCTTTCATGAAGACTTTGGGGTAGGACTTTTGGCTTCCTTTGGGGGAAACCTCCCTTCAGGAGGAGATGCTAGTAAGACCCCTCTTCTCCTGGACAGGCTCTGGGCATGGGAGTAGCTGTGGCCAAGCACACTCCATTCATGACACCTCTGCTGAGACTGTGGTCACAACTAAGTGTCTTTCATACTTCCCCTGAGATGACCCTGGGGTCCCTGCTGATTGCACCCCATCTTGGAGCTCTGTCCTGCTGCCTTCCCTAAAGCGGTTTGGCTTGCCCCACAGGGCATGGTTCTGTCCCTGGCAGGGACACAAAAAGGGAGATGCAGAGGTTGGGGAGAAGGTGGGTAGAACTTCTTTTCTCAGCCCAGCATCCCCATGATCTTCACCATGAGGTGCAGGGGACAGCAGAGCCACCAGCTTTATGGGGCCCCATTCTGCATGTGAGCTGGGGGTGCCTGGTCATCTGCACCACTACAGGGACAAGCTGTGCCCTCCCTGCAATCACCCTCAAGCACAGACCCCGTGGACAGGGGGTTTATGAATTTTCTGGTCCCTGCCTACCTGTTTGTACAGGCAGCAGAGCCCCTGGGCAGGCACTGCCCATCTCTACCTACTTCCTGCAGCTCCTGTGTGCTCCCTCACCACTGCTGCCTGCTCCTTACCCATCCCTGTCTATCTCTGTCTTCTCTCTGCCGCCTGTCCCTGCTCCCTGCCCATCCCCACCTGCTCAGCCTTGCCTATCACTGCTTGCTCCCTATTTATTTTCGCTCACCCCTGCCTGTTTCCTCCTCCTAGTGGCTTCTTCCCTGCCGATCCGTGGTTGTTCCTGGTCCGCTGGTGCCCTGCTCACCATTCCCCCCCGTCAGTACCTGCTTCCTCCCCGTCCCGCCTGTGCCTGCCCGGTTCTTGTCCATCGGTCCCTGCTCCCTGCGGTCCCCGCCGGTCCCTCCCGAGCTCTGACACCTGCTGGCCACCGATGGCACCGGCAGAGCTGGGACAGGGCGCTCCCGGGCTCTGCCTGACGCTGTCCCTGCCTGGGGGAAAAGGCTGGCACAGTCTCGTTGTTTTTGTGCGCGCAGGGTGCCCCTGGAGGACAGAAAAGCTGGCAGTGAGGGCCGGAGGGGTGCCCAGAGCGGGGTCCTGGCATGGTAGTGCTAAAGGAATGCCTGGAGTGATGGCTGGGGGGGATGCAGGGGGGCTCCAGGGATTCCCTCCTCACTTCCAGTGCTGAATTCCCTTGCTGCAGGGTCCCGGTAGAGCCAGGGACCTTGGGAACAACTTGTCACATGTGCCAAGTGGCACCGCGGTGGTGCTGGACGGGGACAAAAGTCACTCTCCTCCCTATTCCTCCTCCCCTCACCTAGCAAACTGTTTGTCCAGCACCTTCCTGGCTTATCTCCCCACGCCCAGAGAGCTGTGGGATGACGGCAGGCCTTATGTGGGGCAAAGGCCTGCCTGGCACTGCCCTTCCCTGGGCCTGGACCCTGCCAAGGGAGAGCAGGTTTCCTCAAGAGCAGCAGCGCCCACCTTCCTAGGACGGGAGCAGGTGCTTGGGGACAGGGTGAGGACCTACATTTTCAGCCCCTGCAGAAGCAGTGTTGGGGCATTTCTGAGCCTGGGTATGTAGCCAGCATCAGGTTTTAAAGCCCTGGCTCATGCTTGCTGTAACTGTCTCACGACCCATGGCATGCTACGGTGGGGAGCTCCAGTACTGAGCTGGGCATCACGCAGATACGTCCCCAGCAGTGGCTGTGTTTTAAGCTGTTGTCCAGTCATTTCATTTAATGCTTCCCAGGACTGGCTTTGTGTCTGACCATGAATGCTCTGTCCTCTGCCCTGATTTTATGGGACTCCTTGTTTCCTGGGGAATGGCAGGAAGGAGTCTTTTACTTCTGTGGAGACAGAGCTCTCCCACCCAACAAGCACTGGGTGGTGACAATGGGACTCCTGATCCAGCTAGCTGCCTCAGAACCAGCTGTACCTGTAGGTGTTAACCTCAGCTTTTAGAGCCAGTGGTAAAAACACCCCAATCTCAGCTTGTCTCTTTTAAATTGCCTTAAGTTTTATACAGTTTCACTTGTTGTGGTTCTTAGGGTGTGCTGTGCGGGGCCAGGAGTTTGATCATATGGGTCCCTTCCAACTCACTCAATTCTACGATTTTTCAGGATCTCACAGAATCTCCTTTCTGGGCTGCACAGCACTAGTCTGTTCACCTGGTTTTCTGTAGAACCTCCCATATTCCTTTTCTTACACATTTTCTATCTCTCCTCCATCCCTTTAGCAAAGGACCAGAAGCTGGGGCTGTACTTTTGCAAGTCAAGCACACAGGGTTTTGATCTTTCCCTGACCTTCAGCTGTGGCTGGGGGATGTGGGGCAGGGCAGGGTAAGGCTGGGAGGACTGCGAAACAGGCGTTTGGGGCTGGCATCCCTCTGCTTGCTGGGGAGGACTGCCATGGGCACCTACTTGCATGTGTGACCTCTGTGGCCACAGGGTCTGGGGCCTTTAAGATCTGCTGCTGTTCCTCGGCCCAGGATTTTCAGCCCTTGTGGTGCAGAGAGGCGAAGGGGGCTTCGCTCCAATTCTTTCTGTTCCAGCACAACAGAGCTCTGGGGCAGGTTTGGCACTTCCCACAGGAGCAGAGACTGGCTGATGCCATGGGTCTGCCCAGTACTGTGTCCTTGTTACACACACTTGAGCAGCCATACCAAGCAGAGCTGTGTTGAGGACAGGGCAGGTTGTTTAATTTGTGCCTGGAAACAGCCCTAGGGTCCCTGGGACCTCCTCCCAGCCAGGAAGCAGCAGGATTGAAGCTCCTGTATCCTCCTCCTGTCAGATGGGAACTGCTGGGGTGCAGTTAGCACGGGGCAGCTGAGCAGAGAGGGTGTTTCAGCTCAGCCCAGGCTCTGTTGCCCAACAGGCTCTCAAATGAGCCTGGGATGGGGGGAGAGAGGGAGAAGGGTGCCCTGTAGGGTGCACTCTCTTCTGCCCAGCAGTGGGGTGTCAGGCTCTGCAGGGAGTTTGGAGAGCGTGGGGTAGACAAGGCACTTCATGTTCTCAGATCTTCCTGTGCTGGACCAGCCCCCAGGAGCTGAGGGCCCAGGGAGGATTAATGGAAGCACGGTGGGATACAGCCTGCCAAGCAGGCAGCCAATTCCTCCCTCCAAAAAGCTTTTGCTGACTCTATCCCTCTGCCCTACAGCGCTGCAAGGACCGCCTGAACTCGCTGGCCATTTCTGTCATGAATCAGTGGCCAGGGGTGAAGCTGAGAGTGACGGAGGGCTGGGATGAGGACGGGCACCACTCGGAAGAGTCGCTGCATTACGAGGGCCGAGCTGTGGACATCACAACCTCGGACAGGGACCGCAACAAGTACGGCATGCTGGCTCGCCTGGCCGTGGAGGCTGGCTTCGACTGGGTCTACTACGAGTCCAAGGCACACATCCACTGCTCTGTCAAGTCAGGTAAGTCTGGGCTGGGGGCAGTGAGCGGAGCTGGGGGCTGGACCCCCTCCTGCAGCATACCCAGAGAACCCGGGGAGCCTGGCTGGCTGGGTGGGGTGCTCCTGCAGGGGGTGCCAGCTTTTGCATCTTGATTTCCCTATCTGGGGCAGACAGTCAGGTGGGGAGTGAGTCACACACCTGTGGCCAGCCAGTAAATGGGGCAAATTCCCCATCTGGCTCCCATAGACCTACATCTTGACCCACATCTCTACCCTCTTCCTTTTCTCATCCCACATCCCTTTCTTCCCCAGCCTGACCCCCCAGTATGTCCATGGCCCCTGTCTCCCTTGCCTCTGCCCTTGCAGTCCCTTAGTGCCCATGCTCAGCCTCATCCAGCCCTGTCCCTCTCCACTGCTGGCTGCTTTTGAGCTTCTGCTGTCACAGCAGCATCTGTCCATCCCTGCCTAGCCAGGGATGGGGTCAGGGCCATCCAGACAGGGACAGGCCAGGGTACCCTGGGATCGGCTCTTGGCTGTGCAGTACCATCTGCAGAGGGGAGCAGAGCTGGGTGGTGCTTTCAGGGGCGCTGTCGTCGCTGCTGGTGTTCGCTTCCTCCTGCGCGGTGCGCTGCAGAGGGGGCGGCAGGGTGGAGGACGGGGCGAGAGCTGCTCTCAGGCCCTGCCCGTGGTGCGGAGGGGATTGCGTGGGCTGCAAGCCCCGCCGGGAGGAGCAGCGTGCCCGGGCTGGGCTCCGCGCTGGCTGCCGGCTGCAGAGGGCAGCAGCGCCCCGCGCTCGGCTCCGGCCGCCGCCGCCGCCGGGAGGGGCCGCGCTCTGCCCGCGCCGCGACAGCCGGGGAGGGCTCGGAGGGAGCCTGGCGGCTGCTGGCACCCGCACCCCGAGCAGCAGGGCCGTGCCCGCACAGCCGTGCCCGCACAGCCGTGCCCGCACGCCGTGCCCTCGCACACGCTGTGCCCGCACAGCCGTGCCCGCACGCCGTGCGCGGCGGTGCCGGTATGCCTGTGCTGCCCCGCGCCTCTCGTCCCCGGGCTCGGCTCAGCTCCACGGCACTGTGCCTGTCCTACCGCCCTAGCCCGCAGCCAGCGGCTCGACACCCCCAGACGGCAGCCCGGCCCCCCGCGCTGACCCGCTCCCCGTGCTGATGCCAGGACGGGCACCACGCCGGCCGGCGATGGAAGCGGGGCCGCCGCGCCGCACAGAGGGAGCCATGCACCCCCGGAGAAGAGGGACAAAACGTGGCCGGAGGACCAGGACTCCCGTGCCCCCGGGCACCCTGTGGGGCTGGCAGCAGGAGTGGGGCCAGGCTCCGAAGCAACAACCATGACCCCACAGCTATGAGGCTGGCCAGAGGAGTGGGGCTGTGCCCCTGGAGAAAGACAGAGGCTTTTGAATGCTCCCCTTGGACCAACTGAAAAGGGATGCCATAACCCAAGCAGCAGACTGGCGCTCTGAGGCCCTGAAGGGCTTCTAGAGGCTGGTCATATTCCCCTCACTCTGCAGCAGCTCCTCAGGCCTCTGGGTCCCCCATATTTTTCCCCAAGGCCGTGGGCAACCCAAGAGTGTGTGGTGGAGGCTGTGGGATACACATCCTGATCCCCTCAGAACTGTGTACAGAGGGCAGCCGGGCTGCTCCTGCCTCTTAGTAAATGGCTTTTATTTTTGTATGGATGGCCACATGGCCTGTTGTATGTATTGTGTCTCCTCGGGTCCTTCCCTGCACCCACCGACCCCTCCATGCCCAGCACCTATGCCACCCACTTCTGCCAGGCACCCCTCTCACCCTCCTGCTCTGCTGCCTGCCAGGGGATGCAGGGTGCAGGATTTGGGACCTGGCCTCTGGGGCAAGGACAGGGCAGACACTGCACCTCTTCTGAGCAATAAAAGGATTCTGTCCCAGAGATGGATGCCTCTCTTCATGGGCTTGGGGGCTGGGATTTGGCTCTGCCCAAACCTGGGGAGTGATGGGGGCAGTGCCATCTGGGAGGGCGCATTCAGGGATTAGATGAGAGAGCTGGGAGAGGGCCCTGAGAGGTTGCTTAGAGCGCAAGGATGGAACTGTGCAGAGCTAGGAGCAGGACCCTGAGGTGAGATGCCACTGGCAGAGGGTGGGACACATCATATAGACACTAACTTGGGAGGTGCTGGGACGTGGGGGAACACTGCTGCTGGTGTAGCTAACCACCATTCCTTGGGAAGCCAGGGTTCCCCTGCTAAGTGCCAGAATGGGCCTCTGGTGACACTTCATCTGGGGAGGGGCAGGAGCTTTGTGCCACCATCCCAGGAGAAAGCACAGAAAGTTTGGGTCCTGTAACCTGTGGCAATCCCTAGGGAAGCCCTACCCAGGAGGCTGGTAGCTTTTGCATGATGATGGCCACAGGTTGTGACACCTCCCTACAACCCAGAGAAGCAGGAGCTGGCTGGCATCAGTGGTGCAGGGGTGAGCAGGTGGGAGAAGGGAGCAGGACTGCCCCGAGTGGTGGAGGGGCGCTGCAGTGCTGGGAAAGGACGCAGCATCCTCCCAAGCAGTACCAGCACTGCAGGGAACAGGGATGCTGTGCAGGGTGAGACCAGGCACTCTGCTCCTCAGCCTGCCATCCTCTCAGGGCCCTGCCTCTTGCTTTTTCAAGCTTCAGGTGCCCCCTGGTAGTGCTTTGCACATTTCAGGCTGTGGTTGTGTCCCACTCCCTCTGCCTACTTTGGGCTTGGGACCTGGCTCTGTACAGCAGGCTCAATGCCCTGGGACAATGCTGGAGTCCCCAGGTGCCACCTCAAGTGGCATGGTGGCTGGGGGATGAGGTGCCATGGGGACATTGGTGGCCGGGGGTGTGTAGGGCACAAGCTCACATTGGTGATGCCAGGGCAGGGTTATGCCTGCAGGGTTATGCACAGTGGAAACGTGGTGCTGAGGGTGTGGCTGATGGGTAACCCTGGTGTCTCTCTCTCCCTGTGCAGAGCACTCAGCCGCTGCGAAGACGGGGGGCTGCTTTCCCGGGCGGGCCCTGGCAACGCTGGAGGATGGTGCCCAGACGCCTCTGTGGGCACTGCGCCCGGGCCAGCGAGTGCTGGCAATGGACGGGGCAGGCAGGCCCACCTACAGTGACTTCTTGGCTTTCCTGGACAAACAGCCCCGTGCCCTCACCACCTTCCACGTCATCGAGACCCAGGAGCCGCCGCGGCGCCTGGTGCTGACGCCCACCCATCTGCTCTTTGTGGCAGAGAACGCCTCGGCGCCCACCGCCCGCTTCCGTCCCATCTTTGCCAGCCTGGTGCAGCCGGGACACTTCGTGCTGGTGGTGGCCGCGGGGGGCAGCCTGCAGCCCGCTGAAGTGGTGCGGGTGTGGCACCGCAGGGACGTGGGAGCCTACGCCCCGCTGACACGCCACGGGACGCTGGTGGTGGATGGCGTGGTGGCCTCGTGCTTCGCTCTGGTGCAGGAGCAGCAGCTGGCACAGCTGGCCTTCTGGCCACTCCGGCTCTACCACAGCCTGCTGGGGTGGCCAGGGGTGCAGGGGGATGGTGTGCACTGGTACTCAGGGCTGCTCTACCGCCTGGGCAGGCTGCTCCTGCCCCCTGACAGCTTCCACCCACTGGGGATATCCCAGGCAGAAAGCTGAGGGTGCACCGCAGCCCCAGCCAGCACAGCTGGTGGAGGTGGTGGCTGCAGGGTGACACACTGGGGGCCAGCGGCCCCTCCCAAAGCTGGGTGCCCATGGGGAGCTGCCTCCAGCCCTGCCTGCTTGGGGTACAGCCACCTCTGGTTGGGGGCCACTGAGGCTCCATGGTGTGCCTCCTCCGTGTTGACCACCCCCTCCTCACCCCCTGTACCTGGGGACAGGAGGGAGGCATGAAGGGTTTTCCCCCGGGACAGGGGCTGCCCCTGGCTGGATCCACATGCTGCTATGTGTGTGTGTGTGCAATGTGTGTGCGTGTGCCGAATTAGCTGATGGAGTCTGAATGGGAGGGCGGAGAGCAGAGAGCCCTGGCTGCTCCACCGAGGTTCCCAGCCTGTCTGCACCCAGTGGGGAAATTTTGGGAGAGGGGCCCAGGGCCCTTTGTTAGGAAGCCTGGGTGGGAAGGCAGGCAATGCTATTTCCAGCCCTGGGATGTGGCAGCTGGAAGGAGGGTGACTCAGGTACTGGGACTGTGCCTTGTCCTTAGCCCAGTGCAGGGGCACCCAAAACAAGCAGGGGTGGGGGGTCTGGCACAGCTCTGGCATGAGACCTCCGACTTTGTGACACGAGTTCCACTGGAGTGATAGACTGGGGAGTGAGGTGCTGAGCTCTGCCCAAAGCCAGCACCAGAGCCACCCCGCTGGGCATCCTGTGGGGCTGCTGTGACAGCGTGGGGTGCTCTGGCTGGCAAGGGGGGCTGTGGAGGCAGACACATGGGCAGAAGGGTGGGGCCAGGGAGGGGACACAATGGGCCAGCCAGGAATAGACACACTGGTAAGAGCAGGGGTGGGGAGAGTCAGGGCTGCAACCCCAGCCTGCTGGAGCCTGAAGAAAGAGGCAGAGGAGAAAACCTTCCCAGCATCTGGCCTTGAACTGGCTCAGCCCAAAAGCCTTTCCCCACCCCAAAGTGAAAAAAACTCCTCAAGCTTCAGACCCTGGCTGGCCTGACCTCCCCAAGCCCCCAGCACCCCAAACCCTCAGGGTAATTCATTGCTGCTCACCCACTCCTGGGACCTGGGGAAAGTCCTATCAGAGCTGCAGCCACAGCTCCCCCACTCCAAACCCTAGCTAGAGCCTCAGCCTTCCCTAGCTGCACATCAGTGGAGGGGAGGGGGCTGAGGGAGGCAGTGACCCACGTCCCCCTGTAGCATCACGCGTCTCTATTTATTTATCTGCTCTTTGTATGTACCATAGATGGGAGGCAGTGTGGGCGCGTGCAGGGTGAGATGGAAGGGCAGGGAGGGGGTGGGAAATCGTTTGGTTGGGGGGGGGGTGATTTTTTTTTTTTAACAAAAAGCAGAAATTATTTAAAGATTATTTTAAAGCACAGCTTTGATGGTGGTTGTTGTCCAGGATGAAGTGAGGGAGCGGGAGCGTGGCCAATGGCAGGTGTGTTTTTGTCTCTTCACTGGATGTACCTCTCCTGGTTGGGGACACAGCCCAATAAATCCATTGTCTCCCCAGTCGGAGCTGAAAACTCTGGTGTAGGGAGGGCAGGCAGGGACTGGGGGTGCTTACTGCACCCACTGTTAAAGGGCAGGCAGGGCTAGGGGGCACCATGTGCTTCTCTAGGAGCAAGGTTTGGTCACCCCAGTGCCCTCCACCAGAAGGATGACATCTCTCTCCTCACTACTTCATCCATACCCAGGGGAGGCTGTGGGACAGACCCAGTCTGCACAGGAATGAAGTGTCATTAGAGCCACCTGGAACCTAGGGCAAGTGGGCAGGATGTAGTAGGGACAGCCACTGTGGGACTGCCAGGGATACCTCTCCATCCCAGTCTGCACTCACCACCTCAGTGCCTGTCCATCCTTCTGCACCACCCGCAATCACCACAACACCCACCAACCCGGAAGGTGGAGCCTGTACCCTGTAGACAGGTTTCCAGTGCTAGGCAGTGCTGTCCCTCACTCCTTGTCAGCCCTCTCCCCCTCTACCCCATCCCCCTGCCAGCAGAAGGAAGGTCCAGCAGCCAGCACCCCACACAACCTCCCCACGGCCGTGCCAGCCCCACACCTCTCTGAACACACCCTGCCCCATCTCCACGCTGCCCTGCCGTGGTCTCCTGGGCTGTGCTGGGATCAGCATCTCCCTCGGGCTTTCCCTGGACCCCCCAGCACGGCAAGTGTGAAGCAATTCGCAGCAGCCTGTCAGCGAGGGCCCTCATCACCGGGCTAATTTAAGGGCTCTGCAAGGCGGCAGAGCTAATTTAATTAGGTTCTTATTACAGAGAAGGACAAATTGGTCCCCGGGGGGCCACGGGGGTCAGGCTTTCGAGAAGTGCTTTATGGAGTGAAATTTCAATCAGGCTGCTGTGGCAGGCAGGGGGAGCCAGAGGCAGAGGCTGCACAAGGAGGGGATATGCTCTTTGGGGGAGATCAACTCAGGTCCAGGTTTTTAGGGAATCACCGAGTGTGGGGGAAGAATTCTTTGCCCCATTAGGAGGATGGTGCAAGTCTATGGCAGCTGCTTTGGGATGGAGGCAGGGAAAGCAGGGAGGGCTGGCTCTGAGCTGGCTTCAGGGCAGTGAGAGGGAGGGAAAACATCCCTATGTAAAATGCTAGGGTCTTTCTGAAGCTCCATTAACTCCCCCACAGTTCCATAACCCCACATGAAAAGAATGTTGAGGACAAAATGATGTCCAGCTGACGGACAGGACTTATGGGGGTCTCTTCCTTTCCTGGATGTCATCCTCTGCTTGTCACTCAGCCACAGGAGAACCAGGAGAGCCTGGGAGCTGCCCCACTGCCGGTGGGCACATGAAGCAATCCCATCTCCCAGCGTGCCAGTGCCAGGGGAGGGACGGTCCCAGCAGGGTCCCAGCTGGGTAGTGATGGATGGGGCTGCTGGTGGGTGGCCGGCAGAAGGGCCGGGCTGGAGGGTCCCACAATGGATGTCTCTCCATCAATTTGTCCTCATTACCATATAAATGGTGGTGGGAGGGAGAGGAAGGGCATGTGGCGACAGGAGACACCCCCACATGTTCCCATCTGGGGTAGCACGTCCCCCCTCCCCATCCTTCCAGCCCTGTCTGAGCGTGTTAAACCAGCTCTAACAACCCCCGGCCCCTAATTCAGCAGAAGAGAGGTACCACCCCCTATTCAGAGCCTTGAAAAGGCTACAGGGTCCGGCGCTGTTAACAAGGGGGGACATGGTCCCCGTCCCCGCCTCTCCCGTCTGTCCCTCGCCCCAGGCCTTCTGCCGCGGCAGCGCCAGCCAGGCTGGATCCCGGCTCCCGTGGGTGCTGGGCTGGGGCAGTGGAGGGGCAGGGCAGCACCGGGGCTTGGGGAGCGGGAGCAGAGCCTCCTCTTTGGGGCAGTTTTGGGGGCACGAGGCCGACAGCGGGTGGGACACTGCCAACGCTGCCCCGCAGAGTGGCCACGTCTCCGGCCATGGTGCTGGTCTGTCCCCAACGTCCCTTGGCTCTGGGTCCAACCAGGTCCCCATGGCCTGGGCTGGGACGTGACTGGGGAGGGGGGATCACCCCAAAACATCTGTGCCTGCGGACATCGGTTCAGCAGCTTGCAGGGACCCTCCTGCCAGCGAGGGCTGACCGAGCCAGAGTCGCCCCCCAAAATCCCCGGGAGCAGCTGCCCCGCCCGGCCCAGCCGTGCCCGCAGCGGAGCCGTTCCAGCCTCCCGCTCCCGCTGGCACCAGCGGAACGAGTCCTGATGATGGCTTTTCCGAGTGCTGCTGCTCCGGGAGCCGGGGCAGGACCCTCTCTCTGCAGCGCTGTTCTGGGGGCCGGCGGGGTGTCCCAGGACACTGTCCCCGAACCCACGGAGCCCCGGGGGCAGCGTGATGTGTGCTGCTGAGCCCATCCTGCACCCCGAACTCCCTCCACCTCCCACTCTGTCCCGAGCCCCTCACCTCTTGCCCCTCTCTCAACCTTGACACCCGTGTGACAGCATCGTTGGGAACAGCCCCACCACAGGTGCTGCAGAGCCCCTCTGCCTGTGCGCGGCAGCTTCTCCCGGGCAGGGATGGAGGTGTTTTAGCAGGCAACAGCCTCTGGGTGTCAACCAGAGCCTGCTGTGCCTGTGTGAACACCGCGGACAGACAGACAGATGCACGCATCCCTACACATGCCTTTATGCCCTGGACAGACACCTGCCCACCACCGCACTGGACGCCCAGCAGACACCCACCAGCTCTCAGAATGGCCATCCGGTGCCACAAAGTACTTCCTTTTCAGCATGTATCCTTTATATCCCAGGAGCACTCACATGTCCCTGTGTCCCTGATCTCTGTCCCCTCCAGGAAGAGGCTGGAGGGTGCATGTTACTATAGGGACAGCAAGGACAACAGGACATGGGCACTCCGTGGCAGTGCCCACCTCTGCAGCCATGCCCACCCCACATCTGCCAGGTGCAGAGAGTACTTGGACCCTTGGAGGGGCCCGACAACCTCTCCCACCACACAGGGTGAACCCTGCCAACCCTCCTGCTGGTGGGACACCCTTAGCTCCCGCAGTGTGGGGTACACGGCTAACACATCAAAGCCACCCTGTCCCTTCCCTCCCCCACTCCCCAGCCACCAGGACACACTCAGCACGCACAGGGGGTCCCTGCTGCAGAATCGGCAGAACTGGGGGTGATGCTGGTGGTCCCCACCCTCGAAAGGAGTGAGAGGCAGGCAGGGGCAGCTGGCATCAGTCGCCACCTCATGTCTCAGTAGGAGCTGGGGACTCCCAGCGCTCTGGGAGCGCTCAGCAGGACACAGCCCCAGGAGAAACGCCACCGCCACCCGGCACTGACTGCCAGCAGCCGCTGCGTGGTGCCACAGGGGCGGCGCGATGGGGCTGTGTGAGTATGCAGTCACACGCTGGGGACGAGTAAGAATCTAATCAGGGTCCTTTTCCGTAATAAATCATTTGTCTTAATCCAACGCCCTCCCTCCTGCTCTAATAACTCCCAGCACTGGGCCCCACAGCCACAACAATG